ATGTTTAGAAAGCTCCTTACCCAGTCTTGTGCCACCTACTCAGCAGAGAGCACAAATGTTACACTGAGATACATGCAACTGGAGCAACAGCTAAGGGAGAGAATGCATAGCATTCAACTTTGAATAGCATACTCTTGGCCTCTTGAAATTCAGAAACATTTTCTAACGGATTAAACATGCACTAGCCTCAGCAGTGTGCAACTGAGGCCAGGGAAACTCTTAAGTGCATCACGTGTAAGACAAAGCATCTGAAATCTCATTTTACATTGGTGCTTAGTCCCTCTTGGGATCAAGTGCCACTGACTTTTAATTTGAATGTAAGAAGAAATATATCATTGCCATCTCGAGAAACTGGGTCAATATTTCATCAGCAATGCACATTATGCAAATGGTCATCTTTCATGTCCTCTTACTTACAAGTGACACATACTCTAGTTGAAAAAAATAAATAAATGTTTATTCCCCAAGATAAAAATATGGCCAGGAGTAAGAGCTGCATGTCCTGTGTCAGTTCTAAGATTTTTTGTCTCCAGCCTTTTTTCTGCCCCTGTATAAAGAAAGAATTTGACATGCAGTTCCAGCAACGACAGTGATGTAAAAATATATGATACTGTTATTCGTAGAGAGTTTACCTCCATGTCCTAATTTCAGTTCAGAAGGTGTTAAGCTAAGATTGTTCGTGAAATAATTTCAACAGAGTTTCATCACAAAAAGAAATCAGCTTCATGACTTGGAAATTGTTACGCTTCCCTATTAAAGACTCAGTCAACTGAAAAAGTAGCAGAAAACAAATCATCCTCTCATAAGTACAGCAGAAAATTGAACGTGCCTTTCGATAAACAAGATGTATGGGCAGTGCTGTACGCCGCTAGGTTTTGCAGAGGAGAGCATGTGTAAGAAGTGGTACCAGCCAATTCCCCTTGTTCCTACAGACCCAGTAGGCCTCTAGAAAACCCTTTTCAAGGCTCTTGGAGGTTGCTTTATCATAGAGAGACCCATCACCCCACTCCTATCTTTCTTTAAGATGTATTTGCTGTAGTCAGTCTGCTTATCTTCCTTGCAACGCCCAGCATGAAACACGACACAAGTGGAAGGGTATGAGTAAGACATGAGAGGTCAGTGTTTTTCATCATAAACTTACCTACTATGACAATATATTTTAATCAAACCTTTCTGGAGTAGAAGTTATAGAATATACAAATACAAACAGAGGAACATTTATTTTATAGAACACATTTTTCATCTTAAACCAAGGAAAGGGCTTTATTGATAAACAGGAATAATTATTTTTCTAGGGCATTACTTTGAGTTTAAAATGTCTAGTAAGGAATTTTTAGCATGTTATGTCCTCATGAGACAATGATGAAATTGGACTGTACTTTTCAGTATACTTGCAATCTAAATGTTTAGCCATGTTACTTCCGTGGTACGGTTGCGCAATATGATCATGACGCAAGTGTGGAATTAACTAATAAAAAAAGCTGTTGCATTTTTTCTCAAGAATCGGCTTTGTGGTGTCATGCCCAAGTAAAATCATCAACCCTCATCTCAAACAAGACCCGTACTTAGTTTATCTACTAAACCAAACTGCTTGGCTATCTAATGAATGATTAACAAAATACACATCTATGTGGAAAATATTAGTTTATGGTTCTGAAGAAAGCCAGAACAGAATCCCAGATACTGTCACTTGCCCTAGGAAAGTTACTTCATCTGAGGATATGACCTAGAAAAACTAAAAGCAAGACAGAATGTGTGGTTACTTGGTAACTAGCATCAGCTTTTAGTTAAGATTAGGCTTGCTACAAGCAATCTAGCGAGGAGATGACAGAATGGGGGGAAGGGAGAAAAATCTAGAGAGGAAACAGAACCCTTTCCACATCTCCACTCCCACAAGCACACACATGGGCTTATCTTGTTTTCCTGAGGCTTAAGATTTCAGATTTCTCTGGTTAGAAGCAGAGGAAAACTGTTATTTAAGTAAGGTTTTGTCCTGCTACAGGTATTAACTGCTGCGTGCAATTCTATTACCTTTCCATTCATCTATGTTTCGCTCCTTATTCTCTATTGACTCATCGTACAGCTCGGCCTCAGGTTCATCATCTGGATCATGATACTGTACAAAGTATGGATGTGCAAGGGCTTCCGAGGCAGTAATTCTTTTATCACTGTCTAATATTAGCATCTTCTCAAGAAGATCTACAGCTAAGGGAAAAAAGAAACAGGGTTCAAAGCCAGAAAAGACATCTAGAAGTAAAAGAGCAGTCAACTGTTTGTACACAATCTATTCTCAGTTACCTTAAACAGAGTTAACATTATTGGCAAGCCCACAAAATTTGGCAATATGACAAACAGGTTTTAAAGATGTTATCCTGTAAGCACAATTTTCAGAGCTGAATGTAGCTTCTGTTTTGCTTGTGGTATGCACAAAGGTTCATTATAGTCTATTTGAGATCAGATTTGCCTCTTCAGACATCCAAGGCCCCTCATTCTGAAGAGATCTCTGTGTGCTTTAAAGTTAAATATCCTGTGTTGTCCCGATCAGTGCAAACTTAAGTAACTTAAAATTGTGAATGCGAGATTACTCTTTTAATTAGCTCCACCAGTGAAATCATCAGACGAAAACCACGAAGTGCAAAGGACCCAGCCAACAGAAAGTATGTCTAAGTCAACAGTTGCAGAATATCAGAAATGAGGGAGACCTGTAAGGCTGAAATTGGTTTTATGTGAAAAGTTTATCATAGCTATTTAAAGTACTACAGAAAAATGACTTTTAGTGCCTTCCTATAAGCATTGCCATTGATTTGCCTTTATGATATTAACATGTAGCATGCTCTGATGTACCTCATGCAAATCAATCCCATTTTTTATAAGAAGGCATTCATAGCTACTTGTATTTGTAAAAGTAAAATTGGTTTTTAATACACAGAAATACTTAAAAACATTTGAATTCACAATACTTCCCCATATGCAATGTTTTAATATGCACTCAATGGAACTCACTAGACACTGTAGTAAGATGACTCCAGCGACTCAAACGTCTCCTTTGCCATGTCACGTGAAATCACTTGGTTCAATACAAAAACCATTGTGCGGGTTCACAGAATCACAGAATGTTCAGGGCTGCAGGGGACCTTGAAAGACCATCTAGTCCAACCCCCCTGCCAGAGCAGGATCACCTACAGTAGGTCACACAGGAACATGTCCAGGCAGGTTTTGAATGTCTCCAGAGAAGGAGACTCCACAACCTCCCTGGACAGCCTGTGCCAGTGCTTTGTCACCTCAGAGTGAAAAAATTTTTTCTAATGTTTTTGTGGAACCTCCTATGTTCCAGCTTGTATCTGTTGCCCCCTGTCCAATCATTCCATCCTCCTGACACTCATCCTTTACATATTTATAAACATTCATGAGGTCACTCCTCAGCCTTCTCTTCTCCAAGCTAAAGAGACCCAGACTTCTGGTTAAGACCAAAGGTCTGCCTAGTCCAGTATCCTGTGTCCAACAATGGCTAATATGTTCCTAGGAAATAATACTCCAAAGGGTCATTCAAAGAGCTGTGCTTTCCGATATATTCTTCTGCTTGCCAGCAATTTATGGCTTATGGCCTTGCTGAGCCAGAAGTGATGTCTTTAATCTAGACCCTGTGACATTTTTACTTATTCCTGCTATATATAGCTAGCTTTTGCTTTTCATTCACAGACTGTTTTCCTTTAAGAGGTTCCCATCATCTCCACCAGAAACAAAAAACCATGAGCTTTGTGGGATAACAGTCTCTGGATGAAACATTAAGCCATGATGTTCTTGCTGGTCTGATCACTGTTACATGGGATCATGCAGAAAAACAAGACTTGAGTTCACATGTTAGAGAAAGATTTCAACTGTATTGGTCTGACTTTCTTACCTAATGGATTTGCACCACGAAATACTGCTTTCAGATCCTGTTGAGGCATATGTGGAAGAGATTCAATGTACTTTCTTGCCTAGGAATAAATCAATACACATATTACACACACAGAGGTTAACTTTTGCCCAACGGTAACAATATCACTCTAAAAAAGAGGTACTATTTGACATGTTTCTTATACATGGGAGACCTTCTTCACATAAAACCATAATGTACGACTTTGTCCTAAACAGTCATTCCTGAATATTGCACACTAAGTAAGAGAGTTTTAAACAGGTATTCCTTCCTCTAAAGGTTATGCCTTAGGACTTATGTTTTCACCTACACCAACTGGTTCATTGCAGTATATCCTCAGGTAACGTTTAACCAGAAACTGCAACCTAAATCATCTTTCAGTTATCCCTCAGCAAAGTGGTGTAATGCAACTGCATCCTTCCTTCCTTCCTTCCTCCCTACTCTTGAGCAGCAGTTTCACTAATGGAAGAAAAAAATCCCGATATTCCTAGGGTGCAGATCTTCAGTTATTTAACAGAATTTATAGCTTGCCTTCTCACTGTGGCTCTGAAAGGCTTATCCAAACTCAGCCAGGAAAAGCCTGGCTGCATATCAAAGACACAGATGTCATCATGGTGCCTCACATTACATGAGCTACAAAATTCTGGGCTCAGGTAGATAGGTAAATGTTTGTCAGCAAGAGAAGAGGTTGAATGCTGGTCTTAAAGGCTGGGAGCAGACAGAAAGGGAATTCTGAAATGGAACAGTTTAAAGAAGAGGCAAATGGCTGTCCACAAATCTGTAAAAAAACCCAGCTGATCTTTGAACAAATCTTAAATCTTTTAAAATACATTTGTGTTATAGGGACACGTCACTGCACACTCAGCAATCCTGTTAGAAGGAAACCATCTGCAGGAGGCCAACTAAGCATCCTTAGCCTACTGAAGACAGCAGAGGAAATAAAGTTCTGCACACACTGAGCAGCTCCAAGGCTTCACATGAGCTATGGCATTGAGAACTGTGGAACTGTCTTCAGGATCGTGTTCCGTACACAGTCCTCTCTGTCATCATCTTAGTTCCTGCAGCTACAATGAACTGATATAGAGATATTTTAAATCATTACATAGCATTTTCTTTTCAAATTGTGTTCTAATTTAACACAGCAGGACTACTTATTTTTTCTGCTTTTCCTAAGATGTATGCATATTCTAACATAACTCTGGACTACCATTAGTTACACATTTGAGAATCTTACTAAAAGAAGCAAACCTTCATGCGTTATGTCCCCAATCTGTTCAAACTATATTTTTCCTCTTTATTATGGGGGCTGACAGCAAGGCGTTATGAGAGGATGATTTTTTTCTTAGCAGCCATAGCAGTCAAACAGAGAACAATGTTTAAAGATGAGTCAAACGTAGGCTTCACTCCACCTATTTTATGCCCCAAAGTTCATAGAGGCAGCAAACACCTGCTAGGTGGTCAGGGTGCGCAGCTCCTATCAGAGTTAAGTCTTCAAGGACATTAGTTTATACATATGCATGAACAGCAGAGCAAAGAAGAGCTGTCACACAGTCCTGCATGGAAGCAACCAGCTAGGGTAGAAACAAGAGGTGAATTTATCTTACAACAAACATCTGTGGATTTATGGATTATTTGTTTCTATACGGACATCAATTAACATTACTAATCCAAACATGACTGAACAAGATATGGTCAGAATTATCTCCAACCTTGCCCAGAAGTCTTCTGAAAACAACACAGACCTATCAAAGTATATTCATCAACCTGTCCCCTCTGCCTACATATTCACCACAGAAACACAACCAACAGAATACAGACATTTAAATTATTCTCAAAATAATGAAATGCACTTGCCATTTAAATCCACACTAACATGAAAGACTGACAATACAGCTCAGTAACTTGTAGTGAAACATCCCATGAGGCTGATCTTTTAGTTTTCAATTCTTGAATCCTCTACTTATAACTGAAAATAGGCTTGGCCTTTCAGAAAACCTCTGACCTTGCTGTTACAGGAACAGAAGAAAATTGTCCAAGACTGCAAGCTGCTTTAAGAAATATCTAAACAATAAGGCCAAACTACTAGGTAAAGAAGAACTAGAACAAAGGAACAGAATAGGCTGTCTCTTGCAAGAGACAAGTACCTCCAAGTAAGGTACGTATCTGCTTTGACCTCGCTCCTCTAACCAGGCAGCAGCAGCCTAGAGGTGACCTAGCAGCACCCATTCATTAATTTGGTTTTTGTGCTCTCCCTATGCTCTAAAGGTATAATTAGCCCTGGTAAAACAGCTTCAGGACTCCTGTAGCTCACTGAGGTATGCCCTGAAACACAGGAAATTAAAGACAAAAGTGGACATTATCTCCAGGAAATATTTGAGGTCCTTAATCTCATAATCAAAAACCTCACAAACGGACACATTTGTATACACTACTCTGATCATCTTACTGCAAAAGATGCAGGATCTTAATAATACGTAAAAGCTCCACAAGGACCCAAGAGGTTACACAAGGACCTACACCTAGGACAGTGCAGTCTGAGATTTGCTGGTTGACTGAGTCCCTGGCACACGGATAGATCCTTCTCCATTCCCAGGTGCTGGCTAGCCACAAACTCTGGGGGTCTGCGCGGGCTTGCACTGATGAGGTTTTGTTATGCTTGGATTTTCCAGAAAAACAGTGTTGCTCTGGCTCTCCTACAGCTCCTGCTTACTTAACGCATCAGTGTATTCATTAGTAAGTTCAAAGAAAATCCATCAACACAAACACAAGCTGAAAAATAGCCATTAGTATTAGTCTGAGGTCTGTACAGAAAAGGTTTAAGAAAACAACTTCAGCTCAGGAGGTATCTCTATGCTGCTGTTTACTTGAATTTTTACACTATCCCGTCACCTGCCTTTAACAATCAACATCACATTCCATTACTCAGCTGGATATCCATAGTTAGTGCTTGAAGTGAATCCTTTATGTGTAGCTTTAGCAGAGAAACAAAGTGGAAACTGTTCCTTTACTCGATTGCTATTCTGAAGAAGTCATATGGAGAGTTAAAAATCACACCATTAATTGCAGATGTTATCATGAAATTGGACCACACACAAGCATTCAGAGAGACGAATACAAATTTCAAAACAGGGATCCAAGTAAGAGCTCTAGAGCAGAACACCCATATCTGTTTAGATACAACAGAGAGAATAAAAATTACAGAAACATCAGATTTAATACCAACAATATAAGGCTCTGCACATCAGGTTTTTTACTGTAAGTATCGCAGCAAAACAAAAGATCATCAGGACCAATTGCAAAACTCCTTTCAAAAACTGAGTACATGGGAACAAGTATCAAAATGAATTTAGCCGACAGTCAAGGCATTTGGGTACCTCTAAGAAGAATATTTTTTGAATGGAGGCATTCTAGCAACAAAAACGAAGAGATCATTTTAAAGTGTTTGCTCATTTCCAAATCGTAGCATCTGTGTAACACAGCCAGTGACATACGATGCCAATTAGAGAAAAGAACAATGGAAAGTCAGGTAACCAAATGAAGCTGTGAACTCACATGTTCTGATGATATCTTCTTCAGAAGTTCAGAACTGGGTGTGCCCACAACTTCCATTATTCTCTTTAGTTGATCGATATCTGCATTATTTCAGGGAAATAAAGCGCACATGGTCCTTCTGGGTTTAAAGAACTACAGAGCTTTCACACAGATAGTTAAGATATTTAAAACTATTCAGCAAGACAATTTCATCGTAGTTCATGGAAGGATACCAATTCATACCTGCTTAAGCTTAGCCCTGGAATATCAAATTCCTTATTGTACCACATGCATCTGTCAAGTGTACCTGTATATGAGAAAAGTGCACGCAAAATACTGCTTTCCTGTCCTAGTTCCCAATTTAGCATGGTCTTAAGCTTCAGTTTAATAGAACATGTATGCTTCAGTGATGTGAGGGATTTCTGAAGAACAGACTAAGATGGTACAGCACACAGGGCTACATTACTAATCTGAGGGCTGGTAGGTGGAACGTTCTCATTTGGCAGCTTTAAAATTCTTTTATATATATATCCTGAGATTAAAGACTTTCCTTTTGCATTGTCATGCATGTCCTGTAAATTATATTACATTTTTTCCTAGAGGGTCAAGGTTATTTTATAGCTTTATTTAAATGGATGGAATAACATAATTGTACACAATATCTTATAACAGCAAAAAAATACCTTTTTTCTTGAAAACTAGATGTATTGTTTTTTCTAATACCACATATCATGTAATCAAACAGTCTGAGGCACAGTCACCATCCAGATGATGAACATCTGGACAATGCCTGTGCTTACAATTGAGCTTAATGATGCTGAGCACAACAGAAAGGTCAGTGGGGAGACTTGGTGTCTCGGCTCTCTTAACAGTTTCTCAGGCAATTCTAATGTCATGTTGTTTTGCGCCTGGCATCAGCTTAGTTTAGGCAGAAGCGTTTGCTTTTTAGGGGTTTCAGAGTAGCAAGAAATGTCAATATTCACTACTGAAGAATGTGTCTTTGTTTCTCATACTAAAAGCTTTCCTCCCCTGATGCAGTTGTTTCCTCATTTCTCATTATGTGTTTGAATTCAGTTTTCTTTTATTATTTTATTGCTTTCCTCAGCAACAGCTCTTTTCTTCTCCTGCCAGCACAGGAAACGCCAACAGAAATCCCTGACACTCCCGCAGGAACCATAGCAGAATGCTGAAGAAAAAGAGAGGGTTTTGTTGCTCCTGTAGCATTTCTGGAACTGCTAGCTTTTTCTACAACAGGATACAATACGTCTATTAATTCACTAATTATTTAGAAATTAATTTCTTAATTTTAGGAACTGCCAGCCTAAAAGCAGTTCTATTTAAAAGAAAAAATTTTTAGCTGATCAGAAAGTACTGCCTTTATTCAGCTTCAGTTTTAATGTATGTTATTTCAGCAAGATACACATATGGAAAAAATCTGCTCCGTTGTAACTAGGTTATTATTTAAATACAGATACAGAACAAAGAATAAATGTAAATTATTGTTGTTTAGGAACATCTGTTACTGAGTTTTTTCCTACTGGTGGGTCTCATATTCAGCTGTCATATACACTAAACTGAAAGACCAGAAAAAATTTACTGGTTTAGGAGTTTGTTACCTCAAAACCATTTCCATAGTAACACTCAAGTCATTTTATGTTTTACATTAAGGATACAATCATTTCCTGGAAATAGGGCCTTCCCTTTCAGTAGTTCTGCCATGATGCATCCGACTGACCAGATGTCAACTGCCAAAAAATGGAGAGAGAAATGTGTAGGATGAATCAAAGAGATCCTTAAACAGAGATGTCTCTCGGTTCAAAACTTTCACTAAATCCAGCTGTAGCAGAATTCAAGTCGCCACAGTTTACCTGTTTGATTGTAGTGCATCCAGTTTAACATAATTTCTGGAGCTCTGTACCACCTTGTTGCAACATATCCGGTCATTTCATCATCAGTTTGTCGAGCTAAACCAAAATCTAAAATCTACAGAATAAAAATAAAATAACATAAATAATAATTTCCTTTTTTTTAAAAAAAACTTTTCGCTTTTGTCATAGGTACTGATTTTCCTCATCACTCACTTCTGAGTTTATCCCTAGTCCCTCACCATCGATGAAGTAACAGCAACGCTCTGCAGAGCAGCTCACCTGCCCTCCCTGCTGTATCCCTGCAGCCCACAGCTCTGCATAACGATGCTTCCACTGCTACAAACCTGGCCCTTTGTCCTCTAAGGCAAACTTCATGTTTTGCCTCAAGTTCAATTTCCCACTGGCATTCACTTGGTAAAAATAAGCACCGTTGCTAAAAAAAAATACTAAAAATGAAGCATTATCAACGAGGAATGTTTGTGTAAAATGCTGATGACAAGTGCCACTGGCCATTTAAACATTTAAAGAGCACAGGAGCTGATCATAAATCTGCAGAATTTCTGTGGTTTCCCTCTTGTGTTTATCTGAGCATTTACCCAAATCACGCATCATTCAGATGCCACTAGGAGAGAAACATACATTATGCGTAACAAGGTAGATTTAACTCGTACATCATCTGCTTTCAGATGAACTTCCCTGCCAGAACAAAAAGGAGCTCTGTTTAGATACACATATTACTCACAGGCCTGATAGCAAAATGTTCCATTCCGTATGTTCTCCCTCGTAAACTTAACATTGACAGGAAATTAATTCAAGTCAATTTTTCCTGCTCATTCCTTTGCTTTCTATTATTTTGATTAGTCTGTCCCCCACTATTTACGGAACTAAAAAGTATCCCTAACTCTAAGGGAGACTGTGGTGAAAGAACACGTTAAGCCTCAGCACTGCTCGTTAAGTCAGGCATCTGAGCTAATTAGCATCTCTTCAAATAGAAATATGAACTAAGATCAGTGGCAACCTGCCGTGATGAGATCCAGGATTATTTATTAAGCTGATGGCTAATCTCTTCCATTGGGAATAAGAAAATTTTAAGAGTATCACTCAAAATTCCTCAGTTATAATCCAATCTGAAATTATAAAAAGCCTAAAAAAATATTAAGATATAAATAATACATTAACGTCTTTACTTCGACTATACTTTGGAAGCATGATTTATTTCCTAAATAAGCAAAAATAAAAGCAGGAGGCAAGTAAGTCACGAATAATGGCACAAAACTCAAACACTAATGTCCTTATTTTTATAAGGGTTTTGGCAATATTTTTCTTTAATAGCTGATTCTTTCTAACAATTGTGTACATGCACTTTTTCCTTCTTTTTCTTCTATTTCCTTTTGTTTCTACCCAGAAAGATCCACTAGTTTGTTCTATCAGAAAATAATTTGGTATCAGAGGAAGTAAAGCTACCAAAATAAACAAACCAAAGCGCAGTGTAACAAATGCTAGGCAGGGAGGTGCACAGGTACTATAATAATAGAAAATAGATTAAAAGTCTCCTTTACTTATGGTATAAAAATAGAGCACATATTTTGGATCAGACCCAGATGACCCATAAAATTTCACAGATGCTGAACACACATGCATGCAGACATTAAAGGGATAATCATGAAACTTGCTGAGCATCTGCAAGTGTCAATAAATCAAGCAGGAACTGCAGTTTCTCACCACAGATCCAGATTAGTGCGAGAACCTAACTGCACTGCTCTTATTCACTGCCGTGATTTTTTGCTGATCTTGTAGTATTCGGAATCTTAACATCCCTTGCAGCTGGAATAAAGTGATTACATCAGAGTGTCAGTCACAGGGAGAAAGATGTTGCTGGCTGTCATTCTAAGGCTTAAAGGCTTAGAAAACTAGAAGACATCTTTTCCTTCTCCAGACTCTCACACTTACTATGTGATACTGTACCACATAGATAAGCAAAGATACATATTTATAGAGACACGTACACTAAAATAGCAAGGTTCTTTTTGTTTGTTTTTACTGCCCGTAACTGGTACTGTAACTGGTAATACTGGTATCTTCTCATACCATTAATTATCTTAGCTTGTATATTCTGTAGGTATAAAACCAGAAGGTGTTACAAGGCTTCATCTAAACACGGCAGATGCAGAGACATATCAGAGGTCAGACTTTCAAGACATACGCAGTTAAGTACTCACTCATAGGCCAAATTATTAGCCTACGTACCATCTGTGAGGAACCACGGATGAACATTTTTGCAAAGATACTTGTGTTCATAGTACATTAACATTTGGGACAAAACACATGTTCATGGAAATGGGTTTTCTAGGCCAGGGGAGCAACAGAAGCAAACAGCTGAGATTAGCTACCATTTTTATTTCTGATTCCATTAATGTTTTCTCAGAAAACTGTCACCTTGAGGGCTTTTACAACATTCTTCTTTACAATAGCATGGTACCTACCCTCAATTCACAGTCTTCATTTACGGCTAGGTTACTGGGCTTCAGGTCCTGTAGCAGAACAGAGAGAATTAGTCAAATATGATTTTAACCTTTTAAAGTGTAACTGTGTCTTAGTAACATGTTTGATGCACAGAGGGACACACTCCATTCATTATCATTATTATTGCAATGAGTGAACTCACCCGGTGGATGATTCCAGCTGAGTGAATATACTGTGAAACAAAAAAAAAGGAAAAAAAAGGTAAGATTTGAAGTTAGAGGTGAAGGAATGTTTAAGTCACTTATCTTTTTGCTTCTGAGACTGATTGCTTTATATATAGAAAAGATGTATATCGCATTACCTTTTCAGTTCAAATGGAGGTGTGACAGACTTCAAAACCTCCTTGTTTTATTTTATCCAGAGCTGGATATTTCAAGAAAGGTAAACACGAAGACTAGATTCTACCCTTAAAGACAGGACTTGCAGTGATTCTTTTCCAGTCTGATCTGGATGTTCATGCTCGTCAGTGGTTCAGTGAAGTCAGTGGCCTAAGGAGCACTACGGTTGTTGACTCCTAGATGATGTAACTCACCTTCCCATACTATGAATGCTGAAGTGGGTGACAGATACTTGCACCCTGGGACAGGTTACTGACTAAAATACTCACCTAAGCCACAGTACTACTTCAGGTCCACTTTCAAAGCAGGGACCCAAAGCAGTATTTTAATGACTGCTATTTTACATAAAGCATTACATCTCAAAAATTTAGAAAAGCTTAATCTGTAATTGCCTATTGTTCACTTGTTAGAATTAACAGCCAGTTTATCTACAATCTTACTGATCAGGATCAACAAGACCTTGAAAATCTTCTCTTCTATCCTCTACAGGGGAATTCACTTTCTTTTTTTTAGGAGCACAGACTACAAGCAAAACCTGTGTGTATCAACTGGGAAAAGCCAAAGAAAACCCAAAGAAAAACCAAAAGGCATTCTTCTCCGTCCAGACTGAGGCAATGTTTATCAGAAGTGAAACACTGCCCAGAGAGGCGGTGGAAGCTCCATTCACGGAATCACAGCATGTTAGGGGTTCAAAGGGACCTCAAAAGATCATC